GACTCTGGAGAGGTCCTTGTAGGTGGACTGTGACTGACTGGCAAACGAAGACGTGGCCTTGACCTTTGTCCGGGCGGAACCAGTTGCTCCCCAATGGCCTGTGGCCCACTGCGGCAGCCGCTTCTTCGACCTGCCACCGCAACCGGGCCTTTTAGTGCATGGCTGTTATTGGCCTCAGCCAAGTGCAACACCTGAGTCCTCTCTGTCTCTGACCGTGACACAGAAAAGGAGAAACATGAAGTGCAAGCGGGACAGCCCCTGTCCTCTCCTGCGGCGACAGATGCCACGATGGCCGACGAAGAAGCAAATGAAGCAGTCTCTGTCCACAGCTCCTCCTCAGAGTCGCCTTCCATCCCGAGTGCAGAGCAGCCGGAGGAAGACGACGCGCACATGGAAGACGGTGACAGTGCTACCACCTCCTCTGCAGATGAGGGTGATTGCCTTAGCAATCGTCCGGACTCTCCTGAAGCACGTCCAGCACAAGACGAAATGCTGGCAGCAGAAGATGAGGCAAGGAGTACGCTACCCGCGCAGGGAGTGGACCCCCAAAGTAGCAGCCCCACATCGCACTTCTCTGAGTCCCCAATCAAACGAAGACCGGGGTCTAAGGCTAGTGCAGGGAGAGCTCAGTCCAAGAAGCTACGGCAATCACTTGCTCCAGCATCCAAGCAACCGCTCGGCAGCATCCCTGAACATGAACAACCACCAGCTACACTGGCAGACCTGGCCAGTCGGAATACTCAAAGGCAGGAGGCTCCCGTTTGCAGGAACCCCGAGACACCACCTGACCATCCAGGATCAATGCTAGAGCGCCCACACGCCATGACAGAAATTGATATTGCCGTTGCCTGTCTGCCTTGTCGAACGCTTTGCCCAGTCTGCAAACCCCACTGTACCCTGTTGAAAGGCTGCCATTGTCACCTTGAAGGCCTTCAGTGTTACCAGAATTGGACCAGGGTTGACACGGGGGTGAACAAAAGCCCACAGCCATATTCATCAAGCCCATGCCCTGATGGATCCGATGGTCATCAACTCGACCACAAACAACCGAGACAGGCTTGCAAGTGCCATTGATTGCCGCAGTCAAAAAACCCTCAGGAAGCAACGCATGAAGTTCAACATGAAGTTTACGACCCAGCCGAAAAGCCGCAGCTTCACAAACATCCCAATCCTGATCAACCAGGAGTCGAGTAGGCTTGTTGGCCAAGGAAAGGCCAGCATGCCATCCTCCCAAGCCAGCAAACCACTCAAAGCTGGAGATCGCCCTCTCGCTGGAAATCACCTTTCCATTCTGGCTGGAGACACCGAAATTCTTGAGGACCGCTCTCCTTCCTGGCAGGAAATGGTCACGCCAAGGAGCTGGTGCCAGCACTTTCACCTGAGTCGAAAATGGCTGAACCACAGCCTTCACGCAGGGCAGCTCAGCCTCCGCAAAGACCACCTCGACCTTTCCCCTCCCTACCAGTCCATGGCACCAGGGGCACACGCGGGCGATCGGTGGAAACCATGTACCAGCTGGTAGGTACCCGCTCGAGCACTCACACTCTAATCAAGGACTGCTTGTTTAAATTCGTATGTCGACCTTGGTAGGAATTACGGACCTATTGACAATGGTGGGACACCAGGAGAAGGCAATCAATGGTGTTACGAGCTGACAAATATGCATACAATGGCAAACTTCTCAGGAAGGGGAAGGCATGGTGCATAATTTGTTGGGTGAGGATTCCCGAAATCACCTTATTAATAGGATATTGAAGATATAAGGTCTAAGTGCTTGGGGTTATTGCACGGCTTGCCAGGCTTGATGAGAAGGTGGATCTAACCCGCTGACCAATGGGATGGTGGAAGACCGTCGGCCTTGGCCCAATTGACCTGGATAATTCGAAAAATCCCAGGAGCAAGTTCAGAGGCTAGGGTCTTCTAAACCACTGTTGGCAGGCCATCAGGGGCCAGTGCTTTGGTGACTGGCAGGGCGTTCAGGCCTTGCTGGATATGTTCTTCGTCAAACGGGAGCTGGATTGGCGGACATCTGGGAGGCACATAGTCAGGGTCATGGAAAAGATCTTAGAAAAAACTCTTCAATTTGTTTAAACTCCTAACTAGGTGACAAAGATTAATATCATACATCTGGATCTTACGATATTATTACCTGGTACAAAGCTTACTGTCTGTATTAACCGACTGCATTATTTTGAAGTCTAAATGGTACATTATTTTGCAAAAATTGTTCGAGACGATATTACTTATTCTGGCGGTTGATTTATTTGATTTGACGATGCAATCTGGCATAGGTATAAATGTACTTCCAATTCTGAAAAAAAAAAAAAAATGTCCGGCATCGTCCTGGTGGTAATGGCTAGTATCACGTCTTGCCTGCCACATGGGGCTGGAAATGGAAAATCTTGGGGGGGGGGGGATCGGGTGTGGTGCCCGTGGCCGCTTTAGGAAAGGTCCGGATGCACAGTGCACGAAGGGTTTTTTCGAATGCATAACAATGATCAATTCGAAAAGGTATATATTGCTTCTCATCTTGAACAATAAATAAATGTGTTTCATGAACAAAACCAATCCATTGCGAAGTTCGATAAATATAGGTCTGTCGAAATTGAATTCGATTAATGGGATTACGAGTTTGTCTATTGCGGGGCGGGGGGGGTACCACCGAAGAAGATAGAATCCTAGGGACCTATGGCGAGATCCATTATTACCAAAATTCCGCTCAAAATGATTGTTAAGGTGAGGGATCATAGAATTACGACGAATCTAAGATAGTCGAACGAATATAAAATCAATCCGGATTATATGCGTACCATGGACGAAAATGACCTACCAATTTGGATTAATAATGCATAGTAATGATTAGTCCCATTAAAATGCTATCGAACATTTAAGATTCCCGATAACGATTTCTAAAGGGAACAATTAAAATCATCGACGAATATTAAGAAGTGCTGGGTTAGGACATATTTAATATAATTTTAAATCGTCTATTAAATCTATCGTCGACGAATATAAAGGGTTTAAATATCTTGCCTAATATTCGATACATGCTAATAAATAGCAAAAAATAAATTATATGGATATTACAAATAAAATAAATTTATAAACAACGTCCTCGATTTAATATAATTTAGAATTTATATCATTAAATTTAAGCGAATCTCAAAAAGAACATAGAACCATAATATAATTGTACCCAAGATATCTTTATATATAAAAATAAATTTCTGTTTTTTAAATATATACCATGATATATTCGATAAACCTAATAATATTTATAAATTCAATTAACCTATTTTAATCGATCGTTATCGCGTATTTAAACGGCTAATACAAAAAACCATTTATTAACAAATTATAATTAATAACGGCAAATATTTCCAATATAACGAATTTCATAAAATTTAAAAACCATATAATTAAAAAATACAAATTATTTTTTTGTTCGGAAAAAAATAAATTTCTAATTATTAATATTTATTAATAATATTAATAAATTAACCTTAATCATAATAATAATTAAAATATTCTTTTTATATATAATAAAAATATCCATAATCCACCTAAATCCATATTTCATAGAACTTCACGAAATAAAAATAAACAAAATTACATATATCACCCCCCATTCCACATTCCCTAAAAAAAACAAAAAATCAATCCTTATTCCCAATACATACCAAATATAAATATTAGTATTAAATACCCGGATTTAAAACCAAAATTTACAATTAAATATCGTACAAATAAAAACGCATAACACACCACCAAAACTTAAGCGGAGAAACACGAAAGGTAAAGACGGACCAAATTTTTCTAATAAAAGATTGTTTCCGGTGTTTCAAAAACGTATCCCTATCCCTTAATTAATCATAAATAAATTCAACAAAACCAAAAAACACAAGAAAATATAAAAAGGCTCAAAAAAAAAACCCGTTACGGTCAAATTGCGCCACACGGCTCTACAAAGAAATTATATTACGTCGAAATTCGTTTGTATTTTAATAGGTAAAAGCAAATGCGCATAAAAATCGCAACGCATAAATACTTTTATATATATCAACTATAATCCCTACACGCACTATATCAAACTTACGCGCATTACGTCGAAATCGCAATAATTCAATATTCAATCCCCTTATAACGATCCTTATAAAAATAATACTAAAAAAATGCGACCGATACTACCAAAAATAAATGTTATGTTAAATATGCGTTATATAAAATTACCGGGCGCGCGCACACAAACGATATCGAAGCCGCATTACACAAGATTCGTATTATATATCTAACCTCATAATCAATATTATATTACAAAGATTAATAAATATATAACTTCACCTTATGTCGAGAATAATAATAATACAAACGACGAAAACAAAACGGAGAAAACAATTAAAAACAAGAAAAAAAAAGAAACGAATCAAATAATTTATCAACAATTCATTTCATAAAAAGAAAAAAAAAGAAGAATACAAATATTAAAATATTAATTTACCAATTTTAAATCCCGAACAAATTCTCAAATCAATCCCTTTGCTTCGCAAAACAAATTCAAAATAATCCTTACCAAGCTACCTTTCGTAATATACCACTCTCACAAACCGCAATTACGACTTCTCATATAATAAAAAAGAAAAATAACTACCCTAAATCTAAACTAAAAATAACGCTTTTTAAATATTATATATCAAATATATACATAAAAATAGAAATACAAACATACAAAATACATATATTTATTTATATATGTTCCTTTTTTTTACATATATTATTTCTATTCCCCAAATCTATTTTATTATATATATTATTCAAATATAATTACTATATAAATATATAAAATCTTTTCTATTTATAATATTCTAGAAATTATTAAATCTATATATTATCCATCCAAATGAAACATATTAATGGTTTTGGTGTAATATATTTAGTATTCGGATGGACGATCGTGTTGTTTTTCAATAGGTTCGATGAATTAATAAGGGTGAGAATGGGGTGTTTGCGGTTGTCATACAATGAAATCCATTGTATTCGCGTATTTCTTCTCAGGCTTCCGGCAAGTTGGTCCCCCACATCGAAAGTCCCTGTTTTTGTCAGCACGTAGTAAGTCGTGTGCCTGCAAGGCAAAGGCGGCAAAGATAGCGATGACCGCATTCACCGCTGGCCAGAGTGAACCCTCTCCAGACAGGTGTTGGTGTTCGGGTGGTGGTGCCGGTCAATGACCAAAATAGCCCGTGGGGTTGCCCTGGATCACTGACACTCAGCATGAGCAAGTTGTCGTTGGCACCCGACTTCTGGAAGTGGCTATGCGTCTCATGGGGGGTGGGGGTTCGTGGAATTGGGGACACCCTGGCCATCGATTTGGATGCTTGAGATGATCCAGACATTCGCAAGCCTTGAAGCCTTTACTGCCTGTTCATTTGACCAGTGCATCTACAGAGCGTGTGGTGTGAAACCAACCACATTGCTTCTCCCTAGCTTGCCCCATTTTAGAGAGAGAGAGAGAGCACCAGACGGTGCGGAGGACGATGTCCGCGCGGACCCGCTCCGCATATGTCCGTCTTTTAGGAAAAAACAATGGTTCTTTGTGAACGGCGAAGGCGAAGAGGCTTCTTTCAGCCTGAGTTGAATGCTGCAATATCTGAGGCTTTCCATGCTTATGTATAGGAACTCAATCCGGAGACGCAGAGAGGTTTGCAGGCATTGCATACTGCTGGGCAATTCGAAGGTGTCGACCGAGTGTAGCCAGACTTTCACCGTTAACTGGTGCTGTGCAATTGAACCAAGAGCTCTCCAGAGCTCGGTATGCTTAACAGCAAGGACGCTACTCGGTATGCTTTCAGAGAAAGGACAAATGAAATAGACTTGTTATTTAATTAACGTGTCCCGCATTCTGCTCGCACCCCTGCTCCCCACATGTTTCACGCAATGGGTCTGCACTTCAGTTCCCCGCCGAGTGGAGGTTGCCAGTCTGGTAGTTTCCACTCTGTGTAGAGAAAGACCAGCCACAGAAAGACCTGGTCCAAGAAAGCCAGTTGCGGTTGGTCATGTCCTGTTTGGCTGTGGTCGGTTTCTGCCTCACGGGCAAACTGCCTCGTTGAAGATTCCTCGAGGAGGAGGGGCACTGTGCGGCCTCGCGTGGTGAGCGCGAGCCATGGAAGGAATATCGAAATCTCGTTCAGGTGAAAGCTCCGAAGAGGGTTTCTGCAGCTATGTAGAACCCTGGACCTGATCAGTCTTCCTCAACAAAACCAACCCTTCTTTATACCCCTTCACCCCCCTTTTTCTCCCTGTGATTACCGATCCCTTCGTTCCTGGCCCACATTGGAGGATTCCAAATGCGCATCTTCCGGAATCTTCCTGGCAAAAGAAGTCGAAGAAGTGGAATCCGTCGACAGGTGCGTTTAGTTGCACCGATTTCCAGAAGTGCGTTGAGTTTGGTTGCAATCTGCTGCGTTTGGTCAAGTCCGTGATAAACTCTTCCAAGTGTCCAGGCTACAATGAATGAAGGGCAGTCCAGTGAGCGCTCGATCGTTAGGGTCTAGACTCAAAGAATGTCGATCGCATGTATGTGACTGTATGTGCTTTAATCAATGCATGCGCGTATTTCTCGTGACACCACACAAAAACTCGCTGGTGAGTACCACTGAGAGTGGCTCCAAGAACATCCGAACGTCAGCGGAGCTGGTTCCTCAGAATGTCAGCCAGGCAAATTGAAAATTCAAGTCATTCCGAACATGTTGGAGGCCATCGCTAGTAGGTGGAGGCCATCGCTAGTTCCCGGTTGGAGGCCATCGCTCTTGGGTTGGAGGCCACCCCTAGTAGGTGGTCTTCCGAGCATTCCCAAGTATGTCTCGTCTGCACTGTCCGTGTTGGGACCGAGTTTCACGATCAAAACGGTCAGCTTCAAGCCATCCGGGTGACATATATAATACCCGGTGGTCCAAATCTGCCAAATCCAATTCCATCGGGGTCACAAGTTGGTATCTCCGAGGTGGTCTGTGTGCAGCAGTCGTTCTAGTTTGCACCATGAAGGCTCTAAAAATACTATCCCAGTGGATCCAGTTACCACTATAGCTGGTAACCAGTGGTTCCAAAGACCAAAATTATAGACCTAGAAGCCCAGGTTCCTTATATCGTGGTAACTGGATCCACTGGGTATCAACAAAAGCAGCTGAAGGTTGAAAGGCTCACACCACTTGCTGCGCATTCTGGTTGGTCTGCTAGTCACTAGTCTTGTCCGAAGTCGTGCGCACAACTTCTGCAGATAAAAACACGCCACCAAATCTTAGGTCTAGTAGCTTCTTGTTATTAGTAGTAAGGCCCTTGTTCCTAGTAGCGAGGCACTTGTTCCTAGTAGCTTCCTAAGAGTCTTGAAACCTGGATCATCAACTCTTATCGCAGAAGATTACAGAAAAGGACAAACAACTTTTACAATCTGACACCCAACTGCGTCCGTCCACAATATGCCACTTCCAGTATGGGCTAGGTGAAGCTTGATGAAGCGTGCCCCACGGAAAAGGCCAACAACTAAGAACTGGTGTTTGTAATCTATAATGTATTGCAGTATAGAGAAAGTAGAACAAAATAGTTTCTTACACATAATTGTGTAAACAATATATAATGTGTCTCAACCTCAACTTTGGTAAAATACTCGCTTCCATCTCAAAAAACATGATGAATCCCCGGTCAAACGAAAATGCAAACATAGTACCCCATCAGGAGTGAAACTGGTGCAGTGGGTTTCATGAGTACACGACAACTCGACCTGGTCACCTCAGGTCTAGGGATGAAGGTCCCATGTGAAGGACTGCTGTCCTGAGATTCTAATTGAAGGACTGGAACCAACAACTTGCATGGCGAGACCCAAATCTCACTTGATACAAAGTTTGGCGGCGAAGCAACCAACCTGCTCCTCTTCAATTCTAGATTCTAGAGCCCACGTTTGGAACCATGTTTAAGTTTGGAGGCCTCGTTAATATTGTAGTAACGAAACAGACACCTTCCTTCACCTGGGTGCAATCACCCCAACCTAGCCACTGCAGCGGGTTCGTGGTCTTCCACCCCCCAGAGGGGCAGGGGCCTGTTTGACGCCTGGTTGATCCCACAAATAAGGCTCAAAAGAATGCCAGGTCAAGCGTCAAGCTCAGAAGCTGTGATGATCCCTCATCTCAAGCCTTCAAAGCTCTCACACCAGACCTGGGGGAACATCTCTCAAACGGGACGGCTGTGGCCATGTAGGTAGTTTTAAAGGGAACCAATTGGTGGAAATGAATAGAGGAACCAGCTACGAACCTGTGGTCACTGTGGTCCATTGATGATGGCGCCAAACCCCTGCCATTCAAGCTATTTGCAAAGTCTTCCGGAATCTGGAGTCTTCATTTCAAGTGGTTCTAGTGACCTAGCAATTGGCTTCCACATTTTACCAAATAGTTGTCAAACGCTTCTCATTAAACAGGTCAAGGCGGTTCCAAAATGTATATCACTTCTGTCAGGCGCCCCCGATGACGGCCATGAAGGGGTGGATGGGTGATCGAGCTGTGAGATGAACACGGTTGCTCGAAATAAAAGTATTTGGTTGGTTTGACAAAGTGTTCCTCCACTCTCAGCTGAAGCTTCAAGACAGAATGTTGTCTTCATTGTTTGTGATGTTTATTCCTGTTAAAACCTTATTTAAAAGAATGACAAGAACAAACAGGGCTGGCTTTCACATTGAGGGAAGCCGGATGAAGGATGGATCACCCATGTCTCGGCCCTTCAGACCTCAAACCAGCTTCTGCGCCATCTTCGCTTCCGATTGAAGCTTAGGAAAGATCGGCTTCACCTGTCAGCTGGCTGAAGAAACCTGCCTTAAAGTGATGATATGATGCATGTACTGTCATATCTGTCCTTCCAAAACTGCGAGCATACGGAGTCTTTGGTGACCACATCTTTGGCTCTCTGAGAGACTCTAGGCACTCTAGGCAACAGCCTGGCATGCCTCTAACCTAAGAGCGATGGCCTCCAGCCTAGAGTGACTCTTTGCCAGCCAAGTCCACTTGGTCTATGGGTAATGCGGAAACACACAACTTCCAACTCAAGACTCGTGCTGGCCAATCGCAAGCCAGTCCGAAGACTCTTTCGAGTAAAATCAGAAGAAGAGGCTCCCCCAATGACTGATGGCAAGTTCATAAACCTGAAAGAAATTACAAAAACTCAGTCAACTTTGAGAGTCATGAAATCAAACTGTGGTTCATGTTTGTCATCGGCACAGCGTTATATACTTGATATAGACCCCTCAGGTTGTCATTGGTGACATCAACTTGACAATACTCCTCTAGCCCTTTAAGGCTTGATCAAATGCCGTGATCCCCGCAAAACTCTGGATACTGTGTTGTTTCAAGCCCACTCAAAGACCCAACAAAAACAACAATCCTGAGGGGGCCAGGCTGTTGACGTTCCGCGATATGTTTTCGTCTCGCTCTTCTCACATCCTTGATATATTTTGCAGAAACTCTCTCACAAGGCAACTTGGCACAAGCCTTGTCAATCTTCCTGTGATACATCTTACAGTAAAAACGTATGGCACATGTGGTGATATCACTGCACTTAACATTCACACAAGTTTTTTGCAAGAAAATTGGCCATCCCTATTAGGTTGGAAGCCATTCCAATTAGGTTGGAGGCCATCGCTATTGGGTTGCAGGCCATCGCTTTTAGGTTGGAGGACATCACTTTTAGCTTGGAGGCCATTCTAATTTGGTTGGAGGCCCTCGCTATTAGGTTTGAGGCCTTCACGCTTAGGTTGGAGGCCATCGCTCTTAGGGTTGAAGCCATCGCTCTTAGGTTGGAGGCCATCGCTATTAGGTTGGAGGCCATGGCTCTTAGGTCGGAGGCCATCGCTCTTAGGTCGGAGGCCATCGCTCT